GTAAACACCATGAACCTTCAAGTAATCATTAATCATCCCCGAAATCCTGCTTTTTGACGCCCTGGCTGCGTGATCCCAAACCCGTTGGAGGATCTCCAAGAATTGTTAAACTTGGTGACATACATGGTCACTGCTTAGGGTTTAAAGTTTAGGTTTCTGTGTGTCAGTGGAAGAGAAAATCGAAATTTCCATTCTGTGATCATACAGGGTTGTGTGGTACTTTCTAGCCCTTTCCATATAGACTGAGCATTGCTGTAGCTATTTGAAATTCTAGCTGTCATACCTCCAGACTCTAGCCTGAGGTTTCTGATACCCATCAGCCTCTCGGTCTTCGTCATCCCACATAGTCCGGTGCACGTATTTTTTGTGTTGCCATCCAGGGAAATGCAGTTATTGCTACCTATGCACCCTTGAGATGTGCTGAAAGCCGCTCCCAGCTCCTAAGCCAAGTTTCAGGGTTCAGGGTTAACCCTAATCATCCCTATATATTCCCTAGTTTCCATTTCATTTTCCATTTTCTTTTCCATTTGATTCTCCACTATATACCTGCAAGGCCCCAAACGCTGGCTGAAGGCCGTGGGCTATTGGCCGAGGCCGAGGCTCACCGTGCGGCGCTGGCGCCTCGACATCCAGTTGGAAAATTCAGGGATCGCTGTAGCGGTTAGGAATTTGGTCTTGCCATTTGCAACGAACCCTTAGCCCTGGAGTTTGATTGGGTCGTCGGATTGTTATGAAGAGGGCCGGGGGGTTGTGAAAGTCGCGTGACAGACGAGGTTACGTAGGATGTGGGGCTATGTGCATACCACACTCCGGGATATGGGAGGTTTGCTGAGCATCCAGGGCCTGGGCCTGGGAGCACTTGAAACAAGAGATTCCAAGATGGCACAATGTGTGCCACATAAAGCAAGAACATGGGAGCAAAACAATGCTGATGTTCCTTGGCTCGGTTCTAGGTAGCTTGCAAGATTATTGCATTTACTGTTTTTGGCGTTTTGCGAAACGGCGAATTAATGTCCACTCCTTAGCCCTACTTGATCCCCAGAAGATAGTTGGCATAGAATGTAGTTGGCCTTGTCCGGCCTTGGAAGCATTAACTTGAGTCGCTTGTAAAGCCCGCGAGCATTTGAAAGCATTCCCAATCCCAAGAGTTCACCCCTGCATGTTGAGCCGCCACACTGACAGGTTGTCATTCACCCAAACAAAGATGCGACAGCAAAAGGGGCTCTATCAACACTGCAGCGGTTTTAAAGGAGGCGACACCCTAAATACTCAATCCCACACATTCAAGCTTCAGACTGTGGGCCCAATTGCATCTAAGGCCAGCGCTCTCAAGGCGCACTAGCAGATCTGGAAAGCAGTGCTACCATGCGTGTTAGGTTTTGATTGCAGGGAAGCGTTGGCCAGTGCAACCTGGCATGGTCAAGCATTGTTAATCTTGCTACTGAGGCGGACGCTGGGTTCTATTCCTTTCAAGTCGTGTGTTAGCCAGGTGTTTGCTGATACTGTTTCCCACGCCATCTGGTGATGAGAAGGATGCTGCTTATCACCCGCCTGACTGCTGTAGATTGTTTTGAGGGTCATGTCAGGAGTTGCCCCTGTGTGCTCAGCGGCTTATCGCCTGCATCAGCAAAATGGCTGTACACTAGTGGAGGTACTCAAGGCAATGTAGAAGCCTGCAAATCGAATCCTAAAAGCATGCCCAGTTCCCTCAAAGAGGTTTTCTGACATTTCTCTGCCATTTTTGGGGGCGGCGAAATTAGTGAGGATTTGGGTCATCCAGGATCTGGACTTTGGGCTTGGGGCATGAGCAGTAGCAGCTTTGTTGTAAGAGTAGTAGTATTTCCCGTAGCAAGAGTGGCACGGTGGTAGTCGTAGCAGGAGGAGTGCAGGAGCACCCGTCGTCATGGTGCTTTGGTTTCAGAAATACCAGATTCTTCCACGCCACGGAACTTGTGAGGGGCAAATTGGTATGGAAGTGCTTCCCACAATGAAGAAGTAGATTAGTACAGCTCTTGTCTGGGCACCCCCCACTTAGTAATGGTCGGCTGACACTCGACCCTTTTTCAGTGGAATGTCAATCTAACGCCAAATCCTACTTTAGGCTTTATACCGTAGATTGAGGGGCTCACCTACAGTAATAGTGATGATACTTGAGCATCGTCACCCAGGATGAGGGCCCAATGAAAGGGAAGTGCCTAGTTTGAGTTGCTGTATGGCTGATGCCTGCAGTCGCACTGTTTGATGTGCATGGCCGGCGTTGACATTACCATGAGCACTTAGCATTCTTCTCCTCCAGTGCGTAAAGCGAAGCCCGCAGATAAAAAATGCTGGTGCAGGAAGCAGAGGCTGCAGGCACAATGCCACGAGAAGTTGATGCCTCAGCTTTGATCAGGCTGGTCAGCCATGCACCTGAACAAATCGTGTTGCAACCTTCAAGTTGGTGCTGGTGCTCTCCTTCTTCTGCTTCTGCTGGTGCAGCTTTGGTTGGTCCTTCTATCGTTCTCATTTTCACGCTTCTTCTCATCGTCCTGATCCTTGCTGTTGTGCTCCTATTCATCGCCGTTATGTAGTCCAAGACATCTGCCGGGGATTCTTAAAACCATGGCAGCTTTGGGGGTACCCTAAAAGTTTGAGGCTGCTTTAAATGTGGACATAAAGCCAAGAATTTTAGCAGCCTATACCATTCGGAGCCAATTGTGGCTGCAGATGGCTCCGCAGTGTCCGCGAGCGGGCGGCCCTCGGAGATGCTCGTCTTCACATGGATAGAGATGTAGGCTTCTACAAGTTTGGAGTCATTTTGGGGGGGATCCTTTAATCAGGATTATAGTATGTTGGGTGTACGGCAAGGGGGCTCTCTTTCTGGAAGATGGCTTTATGCTTGTGTTTTGAGAGTTCTGGGTGTATCAGCCCGGGTCTGGCGACTAATGAGAAGAGGGGCTATTGGGAGGCTGTAACGATCTGGCTGCCTGGCTGGAATTCCATTACACGCAGATGCCAGAGCCCTGGTTTGAGTTTATAGTTCCAAAGTTAATGCAAACCATTTGGTGCCTATGGCTGCAAGAACCCCAGGTGTTTTTAGCTCGCACCTGTTGACAGCGCATGATCCCAAACCCAAAATCGCACACCCTAAGCCCTAGGCAGGAAACTGTCGAGCTCTTAGCAGGGTCGCGGGATGCTGGGGATGCTCCGGCCAGGTGGGGACGACATCGAACCCTACATCCAGGAGTCGGGAGGGCCGGAAGGGAGCACGACGACTAAAGGTTTCGTGGAGGGACTTGGGGCAGGAAGCTCCAGGTACTGGAGCCAGATCAAGGTGAGCGCATCCAGGGCTCAGCGCTTGCCATGTTATTCAATTTCAGGGCACAGGGTGCCGCAAAGCATTTGACATGCAGGTCCAAGACATCCACCCTAAACTACGTCACAGTCCATTGCCCCTAGAGAAAACTCTAAGGTGTCAAGATCTGTGCATTTTGAAGGACCCAATCGCTGTCGTCCGCGCTGGGCAGAACCAGGCAGCATAGCTTGGTGTTTTTACCGGTCTTGAGTAGAGCACGAAGAGATCAACAAGAGAAGCGAAATAGATTGTCAAGGGTTTACTGCTCAGCGTTTAGTGTTATAATTATTAGGGAATGAAGGAGCAGGGTATGGGTAGTATTCCAGGGGTTGATGTCAGGACTACAGCAGGGATCCATTTCTCCATTCCATGCTAGCCACGAGTACAGTGCTCAAACTCCAGGAAGCCGAGCATCTAGAGATTCGTTTGACGGTTAATTAGCACCGGCAGCGAACGACCTTGGCCGTGGTGGTATTGAGCCCTATATGGCTTTTTACATCCCCAGATACCTGTATAGCCCTAGACAAACTCATGACACAGGTCCGTGGATGCGCATGCAGCAATTGGCGAGCTCATTGCAGAGATCGAAGCATCTGAGAAGATACGCATTGTGCTGGCAGGCCTGGTCGGGCAAAAGGAGTCTCAGCAGTTAAGGGAGTCTAGGAAGTTAAGGTTTGTTGGGAGTTTAAGCAGCTTGGGAAACTTAAGGGGCTTAGGGAGTTTAGGGATTCGAGGGATAATGGACTTGCCTTTAGATTGTGTTTTTGCAGCTGTGATGTTTATGCTGTCGTAGTTTTGACTGTTTGCTGTAGTACAGGTTCCTGAACGGTTGCTGCGGGTATGTGACAGTCGAAATCCACAAGTGTCTCTTTACAGCAGTGAAGCTACTCAAGTTTCAGGAGTGGAGTGCCAGATGATCTGGAGCAGCATGAAGCATGTCCTGTGTCTTGTGTTGCATTCTCAGGCATCGGCATTTCGTCTAGGACCATGGGCACGGTGCATGCAAGCTCGGACTATGACATCAAGCGCCTTGGTATGAGCCCTTAGGATAGGACGGTGGGAATGCACTGCATCGCTACGGCTTTTGTTTGGAGAAGAGTGCGGAAGCTGCGGTGCACAAGAATTCCGGGGAAGGAGTTGCATTCATACTCGTTTGCCTGAACTTTGAGGAACCGCAGCCCTTACCCCTAGACCCTAAACCTCAAAGTCCTTACAGTGTTCGCGACTTTTCAGTCACGCATGCTCCGAGGCGTAAACCCTTAAGGCAGTAAGCACTCAACCCTGTAATTCGCATGGCGCTACAAATCTCTGTATCCGTTTATCATATACATACACACACATACATACATGTATCCCTTCGTATCCTTATCTAACCGTATATAAATGTATTTATATAACCCCTTGTAGCGTGTGTAACTCCAAATCTGTAGTTCTGTTTATTCTAATAAGGTTTTCGACTCAGGTGCATCTTTGTGCAACCAAGTGGCTTGGCTGAGTTCTACTTTTCTGCTTGAAATGCCCTACACCCTCCATTTCCTAAGCTTCAATTCTGCACCCAAGGCCCCAAGCCCTAGACTTGACGTTTGCTCCAAGCAGTTTTCTTGGCATTCACCACCCCCCACACTCACCCCTCTCAAGCACTAATATTGCGGGAATCTAGAAACGTTGGGAACTGAGGCTATTCAGTATGAGGTGCTCTGGGGCAGAGCTGTGCGGTTGATGGGGGGATTAATCCGAGAGGCACACAAGAACTCTCTCGTAGTCAGCAGCACGTAAACCCAATCCCAAAGGCAGATTTGGAGAATCCCCAATGCTACCCGAACCACGAGGAAGCAGCTACTTCGGGCTGAAGTCCTCTGCTCGGAGCTTAACAACTCAACAGCAACTAGCGTCTAGGTTCAGGTGTTAGGGCTTAGGTTGAGAGATCAGCCTTTGGGGCGCAAGGAATAGGATTCAGTGGAATAGGGATTAGGCTTTCGAGGTTGAGGGTGAGTTGTTTTGGAGAATCTGGGTCAACCGCTATACACCCCCGCAACAAGTGGCCTTAAAGCGTTTAGGGCTCGGGCTGCTTGGTACTGGCGCCGCTGAAGCTGCGTTGGCAGACGCACACCAATCAGCCTTGTTGCTTCAAGCGCATGAGTCAGAATGGCCGCTGACATTCAGTTGCTTCAAGCTTGTAGTCCTACCGCAGTTTTTAGTATAGAACCTCCCAAAATGGATCACTGCGTTTTTTTGGGAAACCCCAATGTCTGCAATCGTGAGGTTGATGAACCGGGATTTGAACAACTCTCAGAAAACGGTGCCGGACCTTCTGGAACATGGGAGCATCACATGAAGGTGTCTAGGAGTAGCCTTTCTATTACTACCAGGATTGCAAATTGCCGTGGGTCCAACATCCAGCATCGCACGTGAGTACAAGGAACCTGCGCTATGAATCCTGAACCGTGGCCACCTACAAAACAGATACTGTCACAAAATCCCGGGAACCCCATATTTCCAGTCCCAGTCGATACTCCCTGGTATGCCTGGGGTCCTGTACAGCTCGAGGCCCGAACCAAAACTGGAGACCTCCCTCAAGCAATGCGGACTTGAAGATGTGCACGAGGCTTTGGAACAAAAATACCCGGTTGTTGAAAAATGAGCGCAGACGAGGCCACGACCTTCAAGCACAACTTCGCGGGCGCGGCTGGCGGATCGGATGTGGAAATATCCGGCTGGGAGGCTGGCACGTATTTAGGGTTTGAGGCTAGGAACCTTTGGCCGCAGACCAGGCAGCGAGTTGAGGCCTGCAGCGCAAGGGCTTGGGGGGCGGCTATACAGGATGTAGGGTTCCAGGGCTGTCTGCGACAGCCTGGTAACGGTCCCCGCTGGATTAGACACTTGTTCTGTCGTTAAGTAGGTGCTGCGTAGCAGGTCAGCCGGAAGAAGACCAACCAAAGCTAAAGCCTAACCCCCCTGCTCCTGCTAACCGCAAACAGCAGGATCCTTGCGTGTATTCCCAAACATAAGAGACTCTGATCATTCTAATCCTTGTTATGGGGACTCTTGTAAAGGGACCTCTAGTGTTTAAGGTGCCTTGGCTACACGGGCCCTCCTGCATCATCCTGCATCAGTACTCAACGCCTGAGTGTAACTCCAAGGCTTCAACAGAGCAGACTGCCACGAAAGACTCCCAGTTCAGGGGGTGAGTTTTCAACTTCCAGCCGCGCCTCAACTTCATGCCTTGCGCAGGCACGGCATGCGCTGCAGCTACTGCCGCTTGTTGAAGTGAGAGAGATTAAAGCTACATCTAAGGTAGGCTTGGCTGTTTAAAGGTCGCTTGCAGGGTTGCATGCGGCTTCTCAAGGTGACGGATTTTTTTCAGGCGCCGTTACTTGTGCGGATCGACTCCATCTTTTTGTAGGTTGATGGGTCCGCACTTGGAGTGCTTGGCTTGGGCATTCCCCCCCCCCTATCTCCTGTTTCCGGGGGGGGACGATACGTCTTTTTCTTCCTATTTCCTATTGGTAAACGGACGTGGGGGGGGGTCAGTTTTAGGAAGAAATCTATCATCATGTGTAGTTTCTTCCTATTTCAGCGGT